GGTATTCACTCATAGCTGACACAATGGCATTGCCCCCCACCTTCCTTTTTTGGAAAATGCAGAAAATTCATCCATTCTGTTGTTGCCTGATGTTTGATGTCACGTTCTAGTTAATATAACAAGCCTGTGGCCTGAGAGTCATATGAGTTTCCCTATTTTCTGTGATGAAGAAGGCGTAACTCTGATCTGGAAAGTTTGGATATGTCACACATTTAGGCCTATTCAGGGTATCCAAATTTGTGGCAGGGTACTTGGCTGCCTACCTCTGGGAATACCCAATCTCGGTGTTTACGCATTTATGCTTGACCAAGGACAAGGAGTGCAACACAAACACGATATAAAATATTTTGTTTAACAACTGTGATATTTTTCAGTAATTCCTCTCTCAACAGTAGTGTTTTTTTTTGGGAAAGCGTTAAGTGCGCGGTATTCATGGGTTGCATACTGGTAAACAGGATTGAACTGTGTTGTCATCTAAAATCTAGTTGCCAGCGCTAGTGCACCTTAGTTAGTAATATGATGTTACTTGAGGGCTATTAAGCATGTTTTGTGCTACTCCCAGCAACTGCTGACTGTCAAAATACTACATTGCAGTCTCCCCAGTAAGAGGTATTTACCTTAATTCATCGTATATGTTTTTCTTTCTTTCTGCTCCAGCTAGAGCTATCAAGGGGAGAGACGAACAGAGCATGAAGGATCAGTGTTGTACCGCCGCTGGGATTCTCACACTACCAGAAACATTTAATACATCTGTTCATTGTCTATGTTTCTTTTTTCTGGTGCAGCTAGAGCTATCAGAGGGGAGATAGAGAGAGCGTGAACGATCAGTTTGCTGTACTACTGCCGTTGGGATTCTCATCCCAGGAACATGTAGGGCGGCGCATTCGATGGCGCTGTGCATTTGCTGTTAGGGTTCTCCAGTTTTATTTGGGTTGCTGATGACAGAAACGAAAGCCATTTCTTGTGTGCTGATGACATGATGAGTGCGTGGTTACAAGTGTTAGGAAGGAAAATGAGATGCTTGCTCTGCCACGGCCGGCCGGCGGCGAGCTTTTGTCACATTGACCGACGACCTTCCCTTCCCTTCTTCCTTTCCTCGTCAGGGAGTGGACGCTGAATCGATGCAAAAAAAAAAAGGAGTGGGCGCTGAACTGAACTAGACCGGGGTCGGGCCTGGCCTTGAATGAATGGGCCGGAGAAGCAGGCCCAGATGAAGGAAGGAAGTTATCTCATCTTCGGCGAGGCAGAGCGGAGCTCCTCCCCACCTCCCTCCCCTCTTCGGCGACGGCGATGGCCTCCGCATCGTCGGCGGCGGCGTCGCTCCGCCTCCTCCGCCGCCCTATCGGCCTCGCCCCCCTTCGCCCCGCCCGCCGCCTCCTCTGCGTCGCCTCCCCCACGGCCGCGCTGGCCACCGACGGCGACTCCTCCCCTGCTTCTTCTGCTTCCATGGCGCAGCCGGCGGTGGTGGACGTGAACCCGCCGCGCGGCACCAGGGACTTCCCGCCGGAGGAGATGCGGCTCCGCTCCTGGCTCTTCGACAACTTCAGGGAGGTGTCCCGCTCCATGGCCTTCGAGGAGGTGGACTTCCCCGTGCTCGAGTCCGAGGCGCTCTTCATCCGCAAGGCAGGGGAGGAGATCACGCAGCAGCTCTACAACTTCGAGGACAAGGGCGGCCGCCGCGTCGTGCTCCGGCCGGAGATCACGCCTTCCCTCGCGCGCCTTGTCATCAAGCAAGGGTATGTATCTATCTACTCCTATCTATGTACTGTATGATAAATGATGGCTGGATTGGATGCCAATCTCAGTTAATTCAACCATTAGATTTGTTTGGTTGGTTGATTTTTCCCAACCTAGGATACTAGATACCAATCTCACTTCATTCAGTTTGTCCCAATTGACGCCTACTAAGTGCATTTCTTCATCTACTTATTGTGAATGTCTCTCTCTAGAAAGTCGGTCTCCCTCCCACTCAAGTGGTTCACCATAGGACAATGCTGGCGATACGAGCGTATGACAAGAGGAAGGCGCCGCGAGCATTATCAGTGGAACATGGACATTTTTGGTATGCCTAAAGTCCGGGTATGTATGTATCTATGCCCATTCTGATTCACCTTGTTCTCTATGATTCACACTCACTTCACTTCTCCACCTTGTTCAAATTCAGGCTGAGGCTGAGCTCATTCAAGCCATCGTTCTCTTGTTCGAGCGTCTTGGGATTACGTCTTCGGATGTGGGGATCAGACTGTCCAGCCGAAAGGTAGCCCTTTCACTTCACTATTTGCCCTCTAATTACTAGTAAAAAATCATGCTGTCCCTTTTCGTTCGATGGCATACATGTCCCATGCATGGGTTTACTAGTACCAATCTCTCTGTTTTGTGCCTCACTGTTCTCTCTTATCTCCAGGTTCTTCAGGCCGTGTTGGATATGTACTCCGTACCACAAAACTTGTTTACTCAAGTTTGTGTTATTGTTGACAAGGTACATCCAAATCCTCCTTCCACCTTCCGATTTGTTGTACCATGATGCCTTCATGCACATCCTACTTTGTTTCAAGCCTAACTTTATCAGCGATGGCATTCTGAATAATGGTATAGTTTGGAAGTTTGCTCCTAAACTGCTTTTGTTCGTATGCTGATGTTAAAAAGGTTCATGTTCACCTCTTTCCACTGCTCATTAAAAAAACATAGTAAGATCTTTATGTTTTTATTTATTTGTACGCACTTTCTTCTTAGCTATGCTGTCCGGGTGGAGACCTAGGATAAGATTGCTAAAAAATCAAGATGTTGATTTTTGTTGGACTTCGTTCTGTTTATCCTTTACTATGCAGTCCATCTAGAAATTTTGGAAATGATCACTGAGTGTTCTTTGTATGACGCAGAACTTGGTAGCTAATACATATCACATGGGCCAATTTCCCCATGCTTGTTTCTCAATTTGTGATTAAAACCCGTTTTCATCTAACCCTCTATATTGTAAATAACTAGTAAAATAGTCATTACAAAACCACAATCCTGTTTGTCTACTGATTTTAAAGTTAAGCACATCATAGTTGTTTCTGTGTTGCATATTTACTCTGTTCATAACTACTAGATGAATTTACATGCACTATGTAATTGTTTATTGCATCATGAATTTACAATATTGTGCAGCTGGGGAAACTGAGTAGGGAAGAAATTGAGAAGGAATTGATTTCAACTGGTCTGTCATCTGAAGCTGTACAGGGTATCATTGAAGTGCTCTCTCTCAAGTCACTGTCCAAACTTGAAGGTCTGTTACTGGCTTTAGCATTCGACATGTGCTTAAACTATTGGGCTGTACTGTGGTACCTTCGTGTTAAACTTCTTGTTGATACTGTCCAAACTCTTTTTCTTATGGCATCCATATTTGTGCAACTTTTTGGAAAAAGAAATCAAAGTCGACCCTTTTATCCAGAAAAGGATCGCTCATTTTGATATTCCCATGCAGAGGTGCTAGGCTCCGGTGTTGAAGCCGTTGCTGACTTGAAGAAGCTCTTCTCGCTTGCTGAGCAATATGGTTATGCTGATTGGATCTGTTTCGATGCATCTGTTGTTCGTGGCCTTGCATACTACACAGGGATTGTTTTTGAGGTCCTAATCAAGTGGCATTCCATCTTTTATTTTATGTTTTGTCACCAACTATTGTTTCATGCCGAACTCTCTTGATCCATGTTTTCAGGCTTTTGATAGGGAAGGGGAACTGAGAGCGATTTGTGGTGGGGGGAGGTATGACAGGCTACTGTCAACATTTGGAACTGAAGATGTACCAGCCTGTGGCTTTGGATTTGGAGATGCTGTTATAGTGGAGGTATGATACTATTTCCCCCCCTTCCTCTGGTTCCTTTTCCCGTGTCGAGCGATGCTGCTTGGTCGAAGATTAAAGTTCCTGTAAAATTGATATTTTGATAAAGATATGAGAAACACTTGCTAATATTAAGTAAAAAAAAGTAACAGTATAAAATTCAGAAGCACAGCATTGCACAAGGTTGGGCCAAGATTTTATCAAGTTGAGTAGTGGTGAGAACATAAATTCATGTGGAAAAGATTGTCGTTGTTTACATGTCATTATGAATTTGTGATGCAGTTTGAGTGGCAGTAATACCAACTCTATAATTTACACATTTTCTGGCAGCTGTTGAAAGAAAAGGGTCTTTTGCCTGACCTGCCACGTCAAATAGATGACATTGTGTTCCCATTGGACGAGGAGCTTGAGGGGCCAGCATCTAGTGTTGCATCCTCTCTGCGGAAGAAGGGCAGATCTGTAGACCTTGTAGAAGACAAGCGTCTGAAATGGTATTGCCTTTCCTGAATTTCTACTGTTTTTTCATTGTGTTGAATACTTATGTGGGTGGGTGTATCTGTAATTACTTTTTACTACGCCGCAGGGTGTTCAAACACGCTGAGAGGATAAACGCTAGCAGGCTGATCTTGGTTGGGAAATCCGAGTGGGAGCGAGGCATGGTTCGTGTGAAGATACTATCAACCAGAGAAGAGTTCGAGGTCAAGGCGGGCGAATTGCAGTAGCTGTTAACTGATCTGATCGATTTGAAGGTTTGACTTGTCCCCTTCTTTGATCATCTTCAACACTGTAGGTTTTGCAATACACGTTGTGTATACAAACAATTGGGTGGCTTTGAAGGCTATTGCTATCTTCTTTCGGATCATTCATCTTGCAACAAACAAAGAAATTGTAGGTTTTTCCATTCACCAACATGTATTGAGAATGCTCATCTGCTTTGAACTAGTGCTGTTCTGAAGCGATTATTTTTGGTTCTGTACATGATGCAAAATAGATGAATGAATATAATGAAGCAAGTAATTGTCTTGCCCTGGAAATTAAGCTGGTATATGTATGGATTGTTCGGTCGGTCCTGCAAAACAGCAAAGCTAGTATGCAATGCAAATTAAGCTGATAGTAGCTTATTCACTAGGGAGAGGCGGCCGGCAGGTACGGGATTTTAATTTGTTTTGTTGGTATCACTTCATTGGGAGCCGACGTAGCCGAATCCGATGACGAAGGCGGCGGCGGACTGCATGAGGAGGTAGACATAGAAGTGATCGTGGCCGAAGAAGATGTCGTAGACGGCGCAGTAGAGCAGGCATAGCCCCATGACGATCTCGGGCGCCAGGATGCTGCTCTGGCTCTTCTTCTTCTTCATTGCCCCCTTGTTGGTGGCCATGGTGGTCGTCGCGGCAGGGGTGGAGGTCACCGAGCCGAGCTTCTCCGTGACGACCCACTCGTTTGCGCGGCTGGCCTCGACGAGCCCGATGATGGTGGCCTTGGAGCGGTGCATGGACATGACGTTCTCGAAGAGGATCCAGAAGACGAGCAGGTGCCAGGACCTCGGGGTGCAGACGGCGTTGAGCAGGGTGATGATGGCGGGCACGTACATGGCCACGTACTTGGGCAGGCGCACGTCCTGGCCGCCGACGAGCACGTAGGCCGGGATGACGACGCAGTAGAAGAGGAAGGTGACGAGGTGCGCCACCACCTTCCTCACGAAGAAGAAGCCGTAGAGCACGTGCACCTTCTTCCACGCCGACACCTGCCGGCTCGCCACGATCTCCCAGAACATCTTGCGCATCAGGTTCGCCGGCCCGCACGACCACCGGTGCTGCTGGTACCGGTACGCCTTGAAGCTGCTGGGCAGCTCGTTGCGCACCTGCACGTCGCCGGCGTAGACGAACCTCCAGCCCCGCATCGACGCCCTCACGGCGAGGTCCATGTCCTCCACGGTGGTGCGGTCCTTCCAGCCCCCCGCGTCCGCCAGCGCCTGCACGCGCCACACCCCCGCCGTGCCGTTGAAGCCGAAGAAGCCGTGGCAGGCCGACCCCACCTCCTGCTCCACCGAGAAGTGGTAGTCCAGCGACATCTCCTGGATGCGGGTCAGGATGCACTCGTCCGCGTTCACGAACCGCCACCGCGCCTGCACCAGCGCCACCGCCGGGTCGGCCTGGAGGACCGGCACCGTGCGCCGCAGGAAGTCGGCGTCGGGCTGGAAGTCGGCGTCGAACACGGCCACCAGCTCGCAGTCCTTGGCGTACCCCTTCTTGAGGCCCTCCCGCATGGCGCCCGCCTTGTAGCCACTCCGGTTGCTGCGGTTCTCGTACCGGATGTGCACCCCCTTGCCCGCCCACCGCCGGCACTCCGCCTCCACCATCGCCCGGATGCCGGCGTCCGTCGAGTCGTCCAGCACCTGGATCACCAGCTTGTCCGCCGGCCACCACAGCCCGCACGCCGCGCCGATGGACAGGCGGTACACCTGCATGCATGCCACCATTCTTTCGTAAGTATGTTGTCACTCCCCACATCGGACAAAGTACCACCGTAGGTAGCAGAGAGAGTTGACTCTTGTCTTTGCGTGCAGTAAAGCATAGCGCTAGCTGTTTCTCTTTTATTATCTTGATGATGAATTTGGATGGACGTACAGGAGTGCAACAACAATGGCAATATTTGTTGTGCGTGCGTGCGTGCATGCATATGTTGTGGAAATGGAGCTGTAAAGCAGCGGCTTTTGCATGATGATGGTTGAAGAAGGCAACAAAATCGAGTACACATGCAGCTAGCGTTACCAGCAGCAGTGCACTGCTCGATCGCAGGCAGCAGCAGTGCAGTATACGAGTGATGGATCATGCGTGCGGCAAGCAACAGCCATCACAGTGGTCATGCATATCATATCATATATCATCGTAGATGAGCAATCGATCGATCATAGAGTACGTACGTACTGACCTGCTTCTCGTTGAACATGGGGATCTGGACCAGGACCACGGGCAGGTCCTCTGCGGCGCCGGACTCCAGGTCGCCGACGTCGTCGTCGCCCCCCTTGTTCCTGCCAGGGTTGCGGCGCTGACGGCGCCGGCGGCGGAGCCATAGCGCCGCGACGACGAGCCCCATGTAGAGGCGCTCGGCGAAGAGCATGAGGGACATGGCGGCGCAGAGGTACACGGCCAGCTGCAGCAGCGGCACCACCACCGCGTGCCGCACCGCCGCCCATGCCGCGCGCGCCATCGTCAACATGCTCACCCCCTTCATCCTTCTTCTTCCTCCTCCTCCAATAGAGAGAGAGAGAGAGAGAGATTGAGCTTCTTCTTCTCTTCTTCTTCTTCTTCTCCTGATTAATTCGAAAGGTTGGATTGTAGAGTTTTGCTAAGCAGATCTTGGTAGATGCGTATATAGATAGATTGGTGGAGGCTAATCTCTTATATAAATTGCATGAAATTGGGGGCCAGGCTAGATTAGAACCCAAGGGGGGAGGTTATGAACTTGGGGCATGGCATTGACCTGGGGACAGCCAGAAAGCACTATCTGGCACAGTTGAGGGCAAGATTAGTACCAGCATTAGTGCTTGCTATCTGTACTAATACAGGGGGTGGGTGGGTGCGGCGGTGCAGCCAGCCACAAAGAGTGAAGACATGCATCACTACTGGAAACGCCACGTGTACAAATTGCCACATATACGTGCAAGCTAAGCTAGCCGAGCGAACCACTGTCTTTGTAAGTATATTGATTGATCGGTGAAGAAACAAACAAACAAGCTCCTTCATGGTGAATCAAGTGTGTTTCGCATTCACATACTACCAACACAAAACAGAAGAAAAGCAAATTCAACTGAGTTTGTACTATGTTGCATGGCATACATCCATCTCTTTCTGTTGTGCATGATTGAACCTATATTTATTTATTTATGCACATTTATGCATATGAACACGCTAAGCTTAGCTAGCCAGGAGATATACCATATAGGGAAACGTTTTGCGTCAAACGACCGGCCGAACGAAGCGCCGGTCGCGTCGCTAGCGTTGGATTTAAAGAGATCATGCGGCCGACCCAGCCTTATCCTCTCCCCCTCCAGAAGCACCTCACACCATAGTAACCTTATCTTCTTCCTCCACCAGCGCTACGCACTAGCCTCCATCAACGATGGGAAGTTCCCTGTCTCCAGCTCGTCGGGCTACAGCTGAAGGCCGATGTGAATCAAATCCCCTGCCTCCCAACTCCCGTCCCATCCTTCTGCTTGGGACACCCGCTGACATTGTAACCAGAGGAGCGCCATGCCACGATGCAAGCGGGGCAGCGAGCGCGACCACGAACATCAGAAGCTGCATCAGTCGCGTGAAGCTGGAACCGTGAGGCCGCGAGCTGCAACTCGCCCGATGTTGGGTGGTCTCGCGCGAGGGGATGCTACAACCTGCATTGGCAGAAGCTGGAACCGCCCGTTGGTGGAGTTGCAACCATGGTTGGCGGAGCTGGAGGCAACGGTCACCGCCGGCGTTAGAGCTGCAACCGTATGCATATGGAGCTACAACCAGCCACGGGAGAAGCTGCAACCAATTTGCGGTGGTGCTTCTTTTCTTTTCTGAATGGCGGAGCTGCAAACCTTGTCAATGGAGCTACAACCGGCGAACGCGGGAGCTTCAACCGCGGTATGAAATGCTGGAAGCGGTCTTCAAGGATGCTACGACCATGGCCGAAATATGCTGGAGCCAGCTGCGGATGTGCTACAAGCCTACAACCACGGCCTGAAAAAGCTGGAACCGGCCTGTGGGGATGCTACAACCCTGGCCGTGTTTTGCTGGAGCGGCTGCAAGAGATGCTTCAACCATGGCCGAAAGGTGGACGGAAGTGCTCATCACGGATGATTTTGAAGCTCGCCGATGGCGTGCTTGGAGCGCGCTGATAGCGGGGGATGAGCCCGAGAGACACGTGAGGCGTACGCGAGCGGAGAAAGGGAGCAGGAAGATGCGAGAGAGAGGGACGAGGCCGGTCGAAGCTTTCTAATCTGACAGCTATCGGTAATTGGATCAGAGGGCTACGCGGCGACCGGCCCAAATTTGGGCCGGTCGACCGGCGCCTAGCACTCGCCGGATATACGCACTGGGAATTAAGCAGAGAAATTAATAAATAAAACCGTGTGCGTGCGTGCGTGCGTGCGTGTGGGATCCATCTATATGGACTGGAGTTGCCAACCGTGTCGTGCTGCATCCATTCCATGGCAATGGCAGCAGGCATGCACACCATCCATCCATCTATAGTTGTGTGCTAAGCTAGCTGTGGATTCCTCACTGCCTGCCTTATTTCGAGGGAGGGAGGGAGGGAGAGCTAGGTTTTTAATATGCTACTCCCTCAGTTCACATACTATAAGATGTTCTAACTTTTTCCAGAATCGGACACAACATGTTTTAGTGTGTTTATTATTCACTCATTTCAGTCTGTATGTAATACACAGTAGAATAAAACATCTTATATTTGTGAACCATGTTATCTGGCATCCATCAGATTTTTGGCATCTGCCAGTGAACGCCGTCCCCACCATTGCACGGATCTCAGCGCAGGGCCGATGCCAAGTTCAGATTTTGAAACTAGTTTGCTATAAGATAAAACCAAGCGAACATTTTATTTCTCAAACGCCCCTGTGCACTACACTTGCTAGCGGCGTGAGCTTGCACATGGAAGACTTGGGTTTGAATCCCAAGCCCTCCTTTTTTGACTTTTTTTACCATGATGGAATTTTATGTTTTTTTGGCTTAGGTACATGGCAAATTTTCTAGAAAAAAAAAGCAACATTGCAGTTTATAAATTTTAGAAATACGTCATATTGCAATTAAACATTTTTTTCACAAGTCAAGTTTGTTTTTGTACACGGCATTTTTTATTTTAAGATATGACATGTTTATTATTAAGAGATGACATTTTTTATTATTAAGAGATGGCATTTTTATTATTAAAAGATGGCATTTTTATTATTAAAAGACAGCATTTTTATCATTAATAGACGTCATTTTTATAATTAGTAGACGGTATTTTTTATTATGAAGAGATGGAATTTTTTATTATTAAGATATGTCATTTTTATTATTAAGATATGATATTTTTTAATATTAAGAGATGTCATTCTTGTTATTAAGAGGTGACATTTATACTAATAAGTGGTGGAATTTTTCTAAATATTATTATCCAAATAAAACATTTTTTATCTACAGGATGGTAGTTTTAAAGTTTAGCAACAAGGCAATGATATGTTTCCTAGATCACACGACCTCTTTATGTTTTATCATACTTATTGTAAATTTATAAATTAGAGTAATGTCAGTTTTATAAAGTAGCATGACATTTTTCATAATTTGTATCAGGGGCAAAATTGTTCTCTACAAGATGGCATTTTTTATATTAATTTCTTTTACATACATCATACACATCTTTCTTTTTGACATTTTTTTATTTTTTTGTAGAAAATAAAACGGTCATTGGGCATGGAGGCCTAGAGGCCCATGGGGGAAGCTAAAGAGGGCCTTTGTGGGCTGGTTCGCTCGATACTTGTTGCATGATTGAGTAGTGATACCCCTCAAAAAAAAGAGTAGTGATGGATGCAGACAATCACAAGCCTACTTTGTTTATAGAAAAGAGAGTATAATTTTCGATCCCTAACTGTTGTAGGAATCTATCGTGGCCTCCTCTTATGTGTCATTTGCCGTCTATTCCCTCTGTCCGGATTTATTAGGCCTCCTCATATTTTGAGACAAAGTTTGACCTAACCATACATTTGCATAATAAAATATGAGTTATACATCAAATAAATGGTATTATTGAAAAAATTATTCGAATATGAAATATAACAATATAATTTTATGACATAAAACTTATATTTTGCAAATTAAATCGATGGTCAAAGTTTAGACAAAAATACAAATGGGTCTAATAAACCCGGACGGAGGTAATAATGCACTATTTTAGTATAATGTTGTTTGACTCTTTATTTTTTTAAGGGTAAAACTGTCGATCTATTGATAATCAATCATGATAGTACAATGAACACCAGAGAGGTAACAAAATTTCAGGGCCAGTGGATGAAGCTTGGTTCTAAATCCAAATAAACACATGCTTTTTATTTCTTTTTATTTGTTTACTGAGTGTCTTGTAAAAAAAGACTTGGCAAATACCTATTTTCCGAGTGTTTTCAAAGTCCCTACTTTGTTGAGTGTAGTACTCAGCAAAGTGACGTGAAGTTTCTATTTGCCGTGAGATACTCAGCAAAGACCTTGTTTGCCAAGAACCCCGTGAAAAATCACTCGGCAAACAGCCCAACACTCTACATATAACATTTTTGCCATAGTGTATACATAATTCACATGAGTGACAATCTATGGAAAGAGATGATATATTTTGTAAAATTAAATTTAGTTATGCTCATTGAATCTTGGCCAGAAGTAATTGACTCGACCGGCCAACTAATCCCCTCTTGATTGTAAATATGTGTGTTGCAATAAACGCTGATGATGAAAGCTTCCCCAATTCGAATTCACATTGCCCTGCTCCAGGAAAAATGTTCACAGTGCACCCCAAACCAGTATGCCCGCTTAGGATTCTTCTGGAAGATTATTGCTTCGAGTTGCTTCTCGTCCCGGTAGCGCATACACACATGATTTCATTTTATTCCTTCGAATTATTCCACTTCCAGTTTCGTTCAAATGAAACCGTCCAAAGAACCTCAGGCCCGGCACAGATTATTTCAGCATCCTTAAACGTCTAGTCTAGAGGAAAAAATACTGCATTCTCTGGCATGTCTCTTTCCTTTGGAAGAGAGAGATCAGCAACTGCAGCTCAATGGTTGAAGCTTCGAGTACTAACTTTTTCTCGTCAATTTTAGAAAGATTACTTCACCTTTCTCCAGTAACACCCTGTTTTTTTGCAACTGAGAGTTGGAGCACAGCCAGTCTTCTCCATTGTTGACAAGATATTGTCTGCCCCTTCCAGCAACCCTCCCTTTATGAGATCCAGTAACACCCTGACCACATGTTTTTTGGCAACTGAGAGTTGAGAGCATAGCTAGTCTTCTCCATTGTTGAGAAGATATTGTCTACCCCTTCCAGGTTGAGATACAGGTTGACCAGAAGGTCACAAGACTAACAAAATAATCAACTCCTGCGATTTCCACAATAGAAAGCCAAAGAATAATGCAGTATTTATTTGGTTTCAGAGACAAGCATTGTGTTTCAACCAAAGGAGCTACAGACTATGTGTAATGTGTGCATCCA